CTCAAAGATATTTCATCATCATCACTCTCACTCGGTTCATTCGGTAAGCTGCATTTATGTTAAAATGAAAAAAATCTTATCTGTCATGATAAACACCATCAGCTGGGAAATGTTGCTTCTTCCTAGAGCAACGAGTGCGGTCAAAACAAGCATTTCAGCCACTTACATAATTCAATCATATTCATAATATCATGATACATTAACATTTAAAGTAGATTTTTTTTCAGGCCGAGGAGACAACAAATAACTTGCCAGGTATTATTTGCATAATTTTCACCATTTCCAGAAGAGAACAAATAATATTTTATATATATAGATAACATATATATAATTATGTAATTTATTTAGCTAGTTACGTAATTTATTTAGCTAGTTATGTAATTTTTTTTAGCTACTGTGGGAGGAAAAGATGCCGAAAACGGACCCTCTTTCAAAACTTCCAGTCAAACGGAGGTGAGCTAGTTTTTCTTCAAACGGAAAATCCAAAACTGATTGTTTTAATTAACTGAATTGTTTTTCAGTTGACCAATGAAGACTCCAGGATACTTGGAATCCCAAAGAGTAAGTCCAATTTTACATATCTATCATATATAATTCAGATTGTCACTGGTTAGTCCCAAATTTTTATTCAATCATTTGATTTTTTTATTCAACCCGTTAGTGGAGACATGATTAATTGAAAAAAAAGAGTAGAAAATATTAATTTTGCTTTGCTTTCTGTACGCTGATTGAAATATATCTACGAGATGTTCAATTTAATTTGGTTTGATTGTGATTAAAATGTGTTTACTAAATTACCGAAATTATTCAATTTTGAATTATTTTCATAATTTGATTAAAAATGGCACTTGCTCTTCTTCACTGATTATTTTAAAAATCAAAATGCCGGCTTTGAGTTTTCCTTTGTTCTTTCTCTTGTAATTTTTCTGAAATTTATTGAAACATTGCAGGTAAATTTGTGACCGCCATCAGCATCTCAGCCGGGGATTTCCTCTGCAACTTTGTGGACGGAATGGCCATCGGAGTAGGGTTCCAGTCCTCCGGCTCCTCCGGACTCTCCTCGGCCATTGCCGTGTTCTGTCATGAACTGCCTCAGGAGCTGGCCAGCTTTGCCCTTCTTCTCGACATGAGTGAGTCAGCTGAGCTCGACCAAGTTTGGGGTCGAAGTACTCTGAAAGTGTAGATTTTCTGAGCGCCGGCAAAAGAGGATTTGTTGAAGTTGTCTTTGGAAAAGTGTGCATAAAAATTTGGTCAACATATAAATTTACCGACTGATTCATGATAAAAAACCACAAATTCAACGAAAATTTTAACAACAAAGAATTAGAATAAAACCTTGAAGTCTAAAAAAATTACAAATTTTGACTACAATTTTGAAAAAAAAATAATCAAGTTTTTTCTTATTTTCAAGCAAGTTTAAAGTGTTTTGCATAAATGTTTCGAAGATGCAAAACTCTCGGGAGAAGCGAGACAAGCAAAAACTCTGTCTTGTTCAAATTTTACATGTATTTGAACTTTTTAAACTCATGGTTATAATTATAAGACGATCTTATCGAATTACAATATCCATGAATGTAAAAGTGAACAGGGGATAACAGATACTATAACTATTGAGGCAATACAAGAAAAAAAAATAACTTAACTTAACTTAACTCACGGTTGGACCAGCAAATAAATAATGAATGAAAAATGGGAGACAAATATTCCATAGTTGTGAAATTGAAGTTTGAGCTATTTTTTTTTACAGAAGTTCACCTGGTTGCCATACTTGTGCTCAATCTGTTCTCTGCGTTGGGTGCATTCATGGGTCTCTACATTGCATCTGCCCTGTCAGAGTATGACCAGTTCATGGGCTATATGACGGCCATAGCCGCAGGCGCATTCCTCTACATCGCGTTCATGGACATGGTACATATTCAAGGCCAATTTAATATAAATTACATTAATATATCACTAATCAGAAAGCATTTTCTAAAAAGTGAACAAAGAAAATATCTCTGGCATTCAAACATCTATTTGGTTATATTGAAGTCTAATTAGTATTTTGATGCGCCCGTTTGTTGAAGGCAGAGAAAAGAAGGTGATGCCGTTAATGATATATGAGAGATGCTCGTTGCTCGATTAAAAGGACTGACAATTTTTTTCAATAACATTCTCTCTGTGCATCAAATGATATGACCATTTTAATCACAGCAGCTGAATTTCGTCTAGCGGAATGCCGTTCCATCGAATTACAAGCTTTTAAAAACCGGCTATCAAATGGTTACATCAAAGTCAATGTGATTATAATTAAGTTTACTGATTGTATTAAAATTTGACATGACTTGAGTTTTCAGTACCCAGAGATGCTTGCGGCACAAAGTAAACAGCCCTGGATCATGTACCTGGTTCAAAACTTGGGACTGATCACCGGATTTGTCTTTCTGCTACTGGTCGCCCTCTATGAAGAGGACATTTGAGGGCACCCATCCGGCGGCTTCTAATACGTTCACAGACAGAACTGAATCATCCCATGAAGATGATTAAGATGATGATTATGATGATGATGATAATAATAGTCACAATGAATAGTTAACCAAGATTGCTGGCTTGATATGATTGCTGTTCCCGTATTTATCGCCCCTTGCACAATTCGTAAATTACAAAAACATTTTACATCCAAAAAAAGTGAAAACAGTTCTATCTGTTCTCATAATGTGGACTCTGAATCGGTGAGAAATAAATTTAATTATGTGATTTTTGTCTTAGACTAAATTGATCCCAATTTTGTCCCAATATTAAAACTCAACACTAACTAATTTCCAATTAAACTAATTTGATCCTGCTGGTTTTTTGTTCCAAATTTCGAAGGAAGTGGAGGAGTAATTGCGCTCGCTGTTTTTTTTGCTTCACTCAGTTTTTGGTTTCAAATAGGCATACTGAATATTTTTGCTAGCCCGCATCCAAGTTTAGGAATAAGAAATCGATTATAATGGATTTTTATGTTGATTTTTTGACAAATATAATTGATTATAATTACCATAATTAGGTGTTTAAAGGATTTGTAATTGATTATAATCGTGATTTTTTCCTATAATTATATCAATTACATTCGGTTATAATCTCTTACTTTGTAAACTTTTGTCACGCCAAAAGTATACTTCAATTATATCCTATTGGTCAATTTTTTTCCATCAATGACATAATCTCTCCAAAAACGAGAGGTCTTGTCACATTTTGTCATTTGAACCAAAAGTTTTACCATGAAACACAAGTCTCATAGAGATCTTTTAATTTTAGTTGAAAGGTTCCCGTGGTAGGTGAATAATAAAACCTCCGAATAAATTGAAAACCTCCGAATAAAGGGAAAAATGTTTAAAATGCAACAAGAAACAACTCTAATGAAAAAAAAAATGAAACAATGTTAGGATTTTAAATTGATTTTAAAATTTTGAAAACAATTTTTTTTTGATATGAACCAATGTCTTCCAAAAGCAGTGATTTTAAGCAAATTAAATGCATTGGATGCAAGGTCGAGAACAAAACGGGCAATCAAAAGGGATTTTAATCTATTATAATCGATTATAATGGATTTATTGTGCAAAACAGAAAAAAAGAATATGGAATACAAATAATCAATTGCAATCGCTTATAATGATATCGAAAAGTAGATGGATTGATAATCGGTTATATTCGATTGAAATATGTTATAACTGACTGTAATTTGCTGTCAAAAAGAGAGATTTTAATCGATTATTTTCTTAATAATGATACAACCGATTTATTTCAATTTTTAGAATGATATATTCCGAGCTATGTTTGTAGCGAATGTTCCAAATTGATTAAAGCAAAATTTTTGTCATAATTGATACAACGCTACTAGGAGCGAAATATATCATTGTGTATTTTATATGGCGTGTGGGAGATGATAAAAAAATCTAAAACCTTTTTTTAGGCAAAACATTTTCATCAATTTTTGTGTAGGCGAACACTGCTCCATAGGCCTGAAACGGCAGTCGGAACACTCAGGGCTTCGCCTTGATACGAGCAACCATGTTGATTTTTATTACACGTTTGTAAATACGTTTTATACGTTTTTTTAAAATATCGTTGTCGTTTGAAATTTTTTTTTGCACATGGGGAGGGGCTGATCAAATAAACAATTTGAACACAAATTGAGATCTTTTTATTATTTCTCTTCTATTTCGATTTCCAGAAAATCGATTTTGGCTGGCACATTTTAAATACTTTAAATTGTCAGATAATATAATTAATGAAAATTCTAAATGTATGAATTATAAAAATTTGAGTAATACAATACAAACACGAACGCGCGTAAATGGAAACACAATTAGTTGGTGGCATTGTTCAAATGCATACTTTTTGCAGAAATGGTTGTCAAAAATAATACATTTATAGTTCACAAGGTACAAAAAGGGGGTAATAGTTAACTTGAGTTATTGTCAATTTTTCTCATCAAATCTTGTTTTCAGATTTTAACCAAAACTTATTTCGTTTGCGTTAAAGGACAGTAGGAATTCTTAAGGCTCTGCCCTGATGCGGGCAACTTTTGAAAAAAAATCAATTGCTGCGTGTTTATTGCGACAGAACATGAAATTACGGGTTTTCTTTTAATCTTAAACTGTTTGCAAAGTGCGTAAGATCATCAAGGCAAAAATTATTCAAAAATTATTTAAAATCTACCGAAGCAGGTGCATAATAAATTGAAAACCAATTAAACACAATTCGCTTGGAAGCTAAATTTCTTTAAAAAAAGTAAAAACCACTACACAAATCCCCGCCCTGGTTTATGTTCATTATACAAATTGCATAACATATCTTCATTAAAACCCACTGAAATCCAGATTTGTCAACAAAACTAGATTGTTGTGGAAGCATACCGATCTATTTTCACCAATCAATCCGGTACATCAACAACCTGATTGAGGAGCACAGCGTAATTTTTAAAACATATGTGCGAATTAAATGTATTAGATTGAAGCTAATCGCCACACACCATGAAAAAATTAGAACATTTGCTTGAAAACTGCGCCACTTAGCCACAGGAAAGATTTTGCGTGGTGGTACGACGTGATCAGTACTCTGTTATTGTGTAACAGCAACAAGAATTGGCCCCGTGTAGGTGATCCCTAAGAGCGACCTCGAAGAGTGCCCCCAAAGAGTGACCTCGAAGAAAGACCCCCAAGAGTGAACCCGAAGAGTGAACCCCAAGATTGACCCCGAATATAGTGAACCCGAAGAGTGACCACGAAGAGTGATTGCAAAGAGTGACCCCGAAGAGTGACCCCGAAGATTGACCCCGAAGAGTGACCCCGAAGATTGACCCCGAAGAGTGACCCCCAAGATTGAAACCAAAGAGTGACACCGAAGAGGTGGCCAAATTTTTGAAGTCAAGAGCAAACTAGATCAGTGCTTTTTTTAACTGAAACTGGGGAATACCATTTAACTCATTCGACAAGATACTGGCAACGCGGATCATGAAAGTTGAAGCCATCAGATATTCGGCAGCCAAAATTAAGCAGACGAGAGACAAGACTAATTATAAAGAGCAGATGGCTTAGGAACAACCACTCATGATTCCTTCAAGCAACCTAGAGCCAGTACCATTGACGGAGACGTCGATTAAAAAAAATTTAAATTTCCGGAGATTTGGGTCCAAAACTTTAATGATCAGAAAAGTAAAGAGGCAAGGCAATCAGTGGTCTGGAAATGGAACAGACTGAAAGCGATCCAAACAACGACAGAACCTTGAAAACAATATTTGAGATACGCAACGAGCACTCTGAAAAACACTATGATCTCAACCTAACTGATCGGAAAAGCTCATTCTGCATAACCGCGGACCAGAGCTTCAAGGCGAGACTAGAGGCGGAGTTCAAACGAGAGTACCAAAACGTGGAATTCCAGTTTTGACAGAGACCATGATTGAATGAGTTAGCCTGCACTCCCTCCGACGGTATCACAGACGCTCGGCAAATACCTAGTAACAAACTTGAGCGAGAAAAACGTCGTAGACCCAGATCACGTAGTGCTAGCGCTGACTCGGCTGAGGGATTTTTGATCGAAAAATGAATGAAAAAAGTTTTGTTGCCAGTCTATGATCCGAACAGATACAGTCTGCACCCGAGAGAGCTTTATGTCTTTCCGCACGAAATTTTTGCGGAGATCCACCTTCACAAGACTTTTTACATGAGCATCGCTTGGAAACGACAAAACCGACTTGAGATTGATAAACAACGCATAATGGGGAGAAAGGGGCTTTGAGAGATCACCTAATATCTACAATTTAATTCTAATTTGAAGTCTTGGTTAGACACGTTCAATTGCGAAGGAAAAGGTAAAATTCTAAGCTGGCTTCTATGAAATGAAATCGGGTAATATAAATAATTATAAATTTAGTTGTTAATTTATGTTGGATGCTATGGAACAGGTGTAATTAAAAGATTTTCGCATAATTTTTAATATAAATTTTCAAATCACAATAAGATTTTAGACAAAATAAGTTTACCATTTAAAAAACAGCGATTAACAAAAAAGTGTAGTTCTTTTTGTCAATAAAGTGAGCACTTTTTTTCTAAAACTGAATGAGGGCACGAAACTTGAAATAACATTAGAATCCAGATCTTATCTGTTTTGAGATCAAAATCGAAAAAGTAATCAACCAAAAATTGAGAGAATAACTACGGGATCTTGTAAATCAAAACAAACAGTATCTGGTGCTAGTTTGTTATTCATGAATTAAGTAATCTTGAGCTACGATTTTCTTGAGAAATGGTAGACCGTTTTTGGAAAGCAGTGCCAGAGGTTCTGTAAAATTAGGTACCGCATTATCAATACTGGAGCTTGAGATATCTGGATTAAACTCAAGAAGATGAACGATTGGCTGTGATGTTGAAAACCATATTGCAGCTTAAGTCACATGGTTAGGATAGCAAAACAGCCGTGAAAACTTTCATTATGATGGGCTACACCTCCGATGGAGCAACCAATCGGACTTAAATTAGATGGATGTCCTTGCGGCTTGAGAGGGTACCAATTGTGCAGAATCCTGGCATGTGTAAAACTACAGAGTTCAAATCGGAGAGTTTCTTCTCCCTAGCGAAACGACGCTCGTGTCTGGAGCCAAATTATCGATTGCTCTATCTCTCATGAATCGATCGCAAAAGATTGAAGTGGAAGATTTTGATACTGAGGCACTACAATTTGGATTAGAAGAACTTCGAATTGAAAGAGATCAGACACTAAGGGAAAAACCAGACGAAGCAAGAGATAGAGCAAACACAACGACTGTATCAGGAACCTACTGTATCAGGACTAAGAGTGGAGCCTCCGTGCCTGATTGAAGGTTGAACCTCCGCCAGATCATTTTAAACCCGAGTATAGAAAAGTTACAGAAGAGACACCCAGGGCGGTGGGGCGTTTTAATCTGGACAGGGTTGCTCAAGAACAGATGAAAATGGATTTAGAGTCATCGACTTCTCTAGAGCCAATATCATCCGTGAGAGATTTGCAGAATAGTCAAACAAGACTCAAGGCGTTACCGCACATCACACCAGCTAGTGACAGCATAAAAAGTGCTGGAGCTTCACGCTTTAGAGTTTCTGGATAGATTGCAGCTTCAATCACCCTGAAACGGAATTCCATCAGAAACATTTCAATTTTGAAGTTTGCATCTGATAAGCGGAGCATTCATCGTCAACCATAAACAAGATATGACTGGTAACTACAAGAGACAT